AAGAAGGCGGGGGAGGGAGTCCCCACCCCCCCCCCCCCGCTGTGTGAAAAGCTAGGAGGCTGGCTCTGGGCCTGGTTGCCAGGCAACCTTCCCACTCACAGAGCACCAGAGAGCAGAGAGGGCTCAGTGATCCATCAGGCAGGCTGGACCTCAGCAAATCCCTTCAACACGCTAAAGAATAAATCCCCGAAAGCCTGAGTGACCTCACTCAGAAAGGGCTTTCATTAGAGTTGATTTTCCTGAAGCAGCAGGGAGCAGGGCAGAAACTAACCGGTGCTCAAGGTCAAGGGTCAAGGTCAGCTCTTCGGGAGCCTTAACCTCAGCAATCTAGGGGCCCCACAGCTCTGCCCCGCCCGTGCTGAGGGCCAGCTTGGCATAGAGGACCCCAAGAGCCACCATGCCCAGCCCCCCAGCCAATGCCGCGTGCAGTTTCCAGGTTCCGCCCAGACAGGGGTGAATAGGTGGCCCTAAAGGAGGCTGAAGTGGTGAAGCCACGTGCAAAGAAGCCAGCAGGAAACTGGGAGAAACCAGACTCTGTGCAATCCTCTGGCCATCAAAAGGCCTATGGCACTTTTGCCAGCTTGGGAATCATAAAAAGCAACCGGACATTCCCTGGTTGTTTCTCAAAAGGATTCTGTTTCTTGTATTTAAAAAAGCACTAAAAGCATTTGAGGACTGCAGCCAGAGGCTCTCACCCATGCCCCCTATGGCCAGCAGAGGGACCCAGTCCCCAGCTTCCACCTGGGCCAGGCAACTCTGGGCTCCCTCCCATGAGAGCCTCTCTAAGACCTGACTCGGGCCTCCCTCCTCCTGGGAGCGTGTTCAAGACCCCCGAACTAGCCCAGGCCATCCCCACTACTATCTCTCTTCCCAGGTCCCTGGACCAGGCGCTGGTACCTCCAGGGCCAACAGTGCCTGTCATGAGAGCCATTGCCATTCCAAGCCAGGCTCCTACCATCTTTTCCCAGGGCTCTTGCAGCAGCCTACGTATTGGTCTCCCTGCCTCCAGCCTCTCCCCTCCAAATCCATCCACCACAGGACTCCCAAGTCACCCTGCCAAAAATGCCAGTTTCAGTATGTCACTCCCCTGGTCCCGTGCCCGTCCTGCCCAGGGCGTAAAGTTCAAAGGCCTTCACGTGGCTTGGAAGGCTCCACATGAGCTGCCCTGGGCTGCCATTCAGGCCACTGCCGCCCGGCTCTCCCTCCCACACCTTGACTCCCCGCGCCTGTGGAAACGAGTGCCCACCATGTCTCATTCCCTCCCAGATCAAATGCCACCTCCTCCCTGCCAAGGTCCACAGCACGCAAGACTGCAGAGGTGCACCCAACACTGGGATCAGTGCCTGAGCCTCTGTGGCCACTGAAGTCCCAGCTCCTTGAGGACACCCATCCGTGTCTGAGGCACCTGGAATGGAACCCCGGTAAGCATGTGTCTGTGCACCTACTTGTCACCCCACAGCCTGGAGCATGTCTTAAGTATGTTCAACGCTGCACTGCGACCTGGGGCTGATGGCGGGGGTGGGGGTCCCACCTGGTGCCTGCCCTCCAGCAGCTCCCAGTGCTCTGGAGAGCCAGGCAGGACAGCAGGCCAAGACCCAACCAACAGGCTGAGGGCTCTGGCAGGGGTGTGCTCAAAAGGCTGTGGGTGTCCCGAGGAAGGAGGAATATGTTTTGCCCTGGGAACTGGAGACTTCTTAAAAGGAGACAGGACGTGTGAGCTGGGTCTTTGAAGGCTGTACAGGAGTATGTGTGACATGCAGACGACACCCGGGCAGGCTTTGCTTCCCCTGCACGGTGCCAGGCACACACACCCAGCTGCACCTTGACCCAAAGGACTTGGAAAAGGGGTCTTGGCCCTGCCTGCCACTCCTCGGTGGCAAGACCTGAGACAGTTCTCGACTCCAGCCTTACCCTCAGCTTCCCAGTCTGAAAATGAAAGGACTGAAGGTGCGTCATTTCCCAGGTCCCTGCCAGCTCTGAAACTAGTAGTTACAGCTAGAAAAGACGCTCCGAAGCCAAACTCAGCTTCTGTGAGGCGGCAAACAGCACTTGGCAGGGCACTTTCTTCCCAGATCTGCGCACGGCTTCACTTCTTATCTAAGCAGCTGCTCTAACAGTGACGGGGGATGGAGGACAGCTCCTCAGATAAAGAACAAACCCCATCTTCCCCCCAGTGGGTTGAGTGGTGCCCGTGCAGCCCGGGGGCGGGGGAGGAAGAAACCAGGCTGTTACCGTGCATACATCCACTCCAGGATTTCCAAGCGGTACTTCGAGGGGCTACACAGCAGCTCCTGAATGGTCTTTGGTTCTGTGATATAAAGACCCTGGAGGAAGGGGCAGCTGAGGTCCTAAGCAAGGAAAGGGAAAGCCAGGAAGCTTTAGAAAGCCAACATCAGCGAAGGGCTGAAACGCACATCTGCAATCAGGCTCTCAAGCGCACCTCCGTTCACGCACGTTCCCGGCCGCCCAGCACCCACCAGGCGGGTCACACACACCCCACCACCCCCGCCGGGCGCGCCCGGCACACTGGCAGCGCTGTCGATCGCGCCCAGAGTTCAGTCCCCCTCATCCGCGGCTCCGGCCGCCCGCCCGCCACTCCCCCTCCTTTACGGACGCCCCCTCGGAGCGCAAGCGGTAGTCTGACGTGGTAGCAACTAGGGGCTTCGGAGAGATTCCGATCCCGGCTCCAGGCTGTGGGAGCAAAGGGAAAGGGGAGGGAAAGGGCCGACGGGGCCGATCGCGGACGGGAGGGAGGTGTCGCGGGGCGGGGGGGAGAGGAGAGGGGATGAGGGGAGAGCCGGGACGGGGTGGGAGAGGGGAGAGGCGCGCGGGTAGCGGCCCCGGGACCGCTGCCTGACCTCGCGGGGCGGGCCTCCTCACCACCGCTGTCACGGGCACTGGCCGCTGACTCGGAAGGGGAGGCATGGACCCCGCCCATCTGTCTCCCCCGGACCCCGCGAGCGCCTCGAGTGCCGGGCCTGTGGCCCCCGCCCCCCGCCGCCCGCCCCTGCACTCACTCCGCGCGCCCGGCCGGGTCTTGCAGCGACAGAAGTTCAGGTGCCCAGAAATGTGGGGTGCCTGAAGTACCAGGCAGTACCAGAATGAAGGCCTGGGGCCGCCCAAGGAGCCGAGAAGGACGCCCCACAAGCCTTCCCCCGCAGCAGGACACAGGGCGCAGCCTGCAGCGGCGACTGGGGCGGCGCGCCCGGCGCCGCCGACTTCCGCAGCAGGCCCTGCCCGCCCCGCCGCCCGGCCCCAGCCGCCTCGGGGCGGCTTCTCGGCCCCGCAGCACCTTCAGCTTCGCGAAGACCTCCACGGCCGCCTCGAACACGCTGTCGTCCCCCTCGTCCTCGTAGCCTCCGCAACCGCCGCCAGCACCCAGCAAGGCCATGTTTCGCGCTCGGAGCCGCGCCCCGCCCCCACGCCCCGGGCTGACTGGCCGGCCCGGCTGGCAATCAAGCGCCAGCCGGTGCTCCCCCCGCCCACCCGCCTTCACCGGGGCCCGGGAGTGGCCCGGAGACGCGGCCCACCCCTCCCCCCCTGCGCCTTTCCCTTGGGCCGCGGCTCCGCCCAGGAGGCTGACCTCAAGGAAGGGGACGGAGCTGGGGCTGGCGCTCAGTAGCCCGCTCTCCCGCCACCCTCCCGCCCGCGGCCGGGGCGGAGGACTCGGCCGGGAGAGCGCCTTCCAGGAGAGGGCGCTCCTACCCTAGTCGGTTTCTCCGCGGGAGGACGAAGCGGGGCCTGGGTGACCGGACAGAACTGGGACTTGAGCGCCCCATCTCCCAGCGCGGGGCTCTGTCTCCGTTTTCCCACACTCACAACTGTAGTCAGAGGGAGGTTTCATGGGTTCGAATCCGGCCCCAGCTGTGTGACTTTGGGCGGGTTACCTAACCTCTCTGTGCCTCCTTACCCTCACCTAATGTGGATAATGAAACCACTTACCTCCTTGGGTTGCTATGAGGATGGAATGAGGTAATAATTCCTATAAAATACCTAGAACAATACCTGGCATGCAAAAAACACTATGTACATGTTCACTATAATTATGCTGGGCCCTGCTCCTTCCACCTACCCTTCCTCCAGTCTGTCTTCGAGTTTCTGGAAGGTTCTGTGCCTCCTTCCTGCCCTGTCCACTTACAAATGTCTTTGCACCTCTCATGCCCCTCAAACTCAATGAGTCCGAAATGACAGTTGTCAGCCTGTCCTCCCCACACACCTCCAAAACCCCCAGCTCGGTGAATGCCCCCATCCCCCAGACCTGCCGATCAGATGAGGTAGGAAGGAGCTGGAGGGTGGCTGGTGCCCAAGGAGTGGGGAACCAGCAGCAGGCAGCTGCTGCCAGCCCTCCTTGATCCTCTCCAGAGTCTGTCCCTGCTCTGTGCCCCACCCTGCCATCTCCTGGAGGGTGGGATCAGGGGCAGGTCTAGAGTCGAGGAGACCTAGGGACCTGGCAGGAGGCAACTGCAGTCCTCTGAGTGACAGGAGAGGACTCAGCCCTGTTCTGGGAGAAGGCGATGGGCAGGCGTCAGGGCTAACAGGAAGGGACCCCAGCCTGGCCTTGCGGGGCAGGGCCTGATTCCCTACTGAATGGTTTGGAATTGCAAGCTATTCTGAGGACACAAAGCCTCTGAACTTGAGCTGCAGGGATGCCCCAGCCCAGGGACCCAGGGACCCAGAGACTTGCAAAGCACCTAAAGATCCCTTCCTGCTCTGACGTGGCTGCTGATTTGGGCCCTTCTGGCAGCTGAAGGCTGTAGGGGTCTTTGGGTTGTTTTTTTAAATCTTTTTTTCCCCTTTTCTGTTTTTGTTTTTCTTTCTTTTTAAAAAATTTCATTTCCATCACAGCCCCAGCTCAGACATTCAAATTCTTGTGGGTTTTCCTGTGGATCTTTCCTAGGACTAGGGAATTTGGCGGGAGAAACCATGGCAGTGTGGTGGCCTTCCCCACCCTCCCCATAGCCTCTGCTCCTGAGGATCGGGAAAAAACCAGCCCCTGTGTATTCTGGAAGAAAATTCCCCTTCTCCACCCAGCTCCACGGAGCCAGTAGTCTAAACAGCCCTTCCCCAACTCAGCAGCTCTGTCTATGGCACAGGGTGGGACGTGGAGGGATTGTCAGGGCCTTGACGGGAGAAGACCATCTTAAAGGGTCATGGGCTTCGTCCCGTGCATGGAGAACCCGCTGGCCAGCCCTAAGCTCATGGAAATGGCAGCTGAAGACGCAGCAGCAGGCCACAGCCTCCCCAGCCCCGAATCGTGGTGCCTCCCAGGCGTCCTCCACCGGAAAGACTGGAGGCTGGGATGGGAACAGAGACTACTGGGCCTCTCTAGGAGGGGGGAGAAAGGGCTGCCGAGTGGTAGAAGCTTCTGGAAATGTGGACTCAAACTCAATACAAAGAAGTGCTTCTCTCAGAGGGCACTGTCTAAACACTAGTTGGCTGCCTGGAAAGAGAGGAGGAGCTCTCTGTCTCGGGATGTATGCAAGCTCAAGGAGGCAGGGAGGCATGTGGGGTGGCTTGCTATGGCAAGCAGGGAGTGGACAGCTCTGTAGGGCGCATCCCTGCCCAGAGCCCCTGGCTTCTGTGAGGGAGGCCTGGGCCGGTCAGGGGCTGAAAATGGGGCTGAAGGAGAGGTCCACCTGGGAGGGGATGCAGCTCGGGGGCAGATGTCAGCAGAGGCTGTGGGGCCCTGAGCAGACCCGAGCACTGAGCCAACCTCCTGATCATGGGGGAAACTTGGCCATGTGTCAGTGCTTGAAAAACAGGTTGGAAAATGAGACCAGTTGACAGGTACTGGCCTCACTGTGTCAGGGATGGGCTGGCAGCAAGCAGTGGTGGCTGAGGCAGCCAGCCACGTGATGCACCTCGCCTTGTGCCTCGGGCACAGGAATGTATAGCCAACCAGGTGGCTTCCCCCCATGGCCTCCCTGCCCTGGAGCAGTGGGCTGTTGGCCAGAGGTGCGCAGGTCATCGGGCAAGAGGAAGGGTCCCTAGAGCATCTCAGCCCCGACGTTCCAGCTGCCTTTAGCAGCAGACCCCAGGGTGCTGGGGGAATCTGACCCCCCAACAGCCAGTCAAAGAAAGCTGAAGTTCAAGTGTTACCTCTCCAGCAAGGAAGAGAAGGCAGATTGGCTTCTGCTGCATCTGACAGGGGTTGAAGGCCTTCTTCCAAAAGAGGGGAGCTTTTGAGGGACGGGCGGGCCCCTCCAGCCCCCACTTTCCCCACCCCTGAGATTCCCCAGTAAGAAAAGGAGATTAAAGGACTCCTCACCACATCCTGTGGTGAGCACCAAATGCGGGCTCCTGAAGAAAAGGCAGGTGGAGAGCGTATGTGTGAGAGAGAGAGGGACAGAGGGAGAGGTTTCAGGGGAAGAATTCTGTTAGTTATGGGATGAGAAGCTCTGTGGGAGAAGTAAGTGGCAGGGCCTGGCATTGGATCTGGGGGAGAAATGATACAGGGTAATGAGGCCAGGCTGAGGATGGTCTGAGTTCAAGGTTCTCCAGGAGAGGCAAAGTGAGAGGGCTGTCTCTCCCCCCACTCTCCCCCGCTCCCCCTTCCCGAACCTCTCTCATCTGCTTGAAACTGAGCCGCCAGGCTGGGCTGTTGGTCACCCATCCACCCAGGTGCCTGGGGCTTGCAGCCAGCCCACGCCATCTGTGCCAGCCGGAAGCCCACTCAAAAACAAACCATCTTCACGCAGATGGGAGGAGGGGTAGAGAACAGGAAAGTGGGGGGCGCTTGCAAATGAGATTGGGAAGAGCCTCAAGGTCGCAGGGACCCCAAACTTTGACCTGAGCAATGAGACCCAAAGGGTTCCAGGAACAAGAATGACACCAACTTTCCTTCGGGTGGCTGTCATTCAGCATCCCAGAGGCCCTGGGGACTGGCCTGGCCAAGCACAAGCTACTGGGGTGGCATAAGTCTGGAGGGCCCCAGAGCTGCCACTATGGGCCTGACAGACGTGGGCCTGCCACGAGGGTAGGCTTGGGGGGAGTCTAGTGGTCTCTGGTCCTAGCACTGGGTGGATAAGAATGTCAACCTAGGAGCTGCCTGGTGACTGCCAGTTCTGGAATGCTCTCATTCTAGGCCTGTGTCCACACTGAGAGACTACCGGCACAAGAGGATGGAGAAGCTGCCCTGGGACCTTGGCCTCCTCTTCCTGTGGCGTCTGATCCCTATGCTGGGGCAGGGACCACAGCAGCCCAGGGTAGGGGCAGCTGAAGAGCCAGCCCTTGAGAGGGGCAGGTGGCTCCCTGCCCATGGGACACCTAGGCAAGGCTGCCCTCACAGCAGGTCAAACCCTGGACCTCCTGCTTTAGGGCCCCACCCCCATGTCCTGCTGCTAAGGGGCCCTTGGGAGCTCAGAGGACCCCACGCGCTCCCAGGCCACAAGCTCCTGCAAGAGCACGTTTCGTATGCCCAGGACCCGGATCGGATCCCAGCCCACTCCGAGGGCCTGCGAGGGTCTGCGGGTCCGCTTGGAGGCCTGAGGCGCTTGTGCGGGTGCGGACGCAGCCAGGCTGCGTGGGCGGGGCTGTCCCCACCAGGGCGCTCCCGGCCCGGGTGGAGCCTGGGGTGAGCCACCGGGGAGGGGGTGGGGGGCGGGCCGGGCCTCTGGGGGTTTGGGGGCTCCCCGCTCGCGCCCTCGCGCTCAGGGTCTCCGGCGATCCAGGCGCACGCGCCCAGCGCAGCGAAGGGTGAACAAGCCGGGGCGCGTGCACGCGGCGCGGGCGAGGTGGGGACGCGCGGCTGCACATGCGCTGGGGGCGCGGCGGCGGAGGAAATGGCGGGCGGGACGGCCCCCTCCACGGGCAGGCGCTCGGGTCTAGACGGCTTGGCAAGGCCGGCGGGGCTGAGTCACATGCGTCTGGAGCTGGAGACGCGGGCGCCAGGACTGGAACGTGAACGTGCCCACTCGGGAGGGCCGGCGGTGGGCGGTGGACCTCGCCTTCCCTCTCCCTCGCCCCCAGCCCTCACTCGAGCCCCAGTGTCTGCCCAGACTCTGTCCCATGTCTGAGGCCCCTCCATGCCCACCTGGAGGGGCAGAGGCAATTTCTATAGGGAGTCAAGCAGGGCCCGCGTTACTGGCAAGAACCATCTGGAATTTCAGATGGGAAGGAGGATGGGAAAGTGGCCTTCACATGCCCCTATCCCAGCCACGGCCCTGCTCCCTCGACCCAGCCACATCGGCCACCTGGGACCTTTTTGCCCCCAAACCACTCTTGCTGCTTTCCACCTCCTCCGGCCCACCTTCCACTGGCACCCTCCCCAGGGATGCCCACAGCCCAGTAGCTGAAGGTCCCGGCTTCTCTCCGCTGACCGCCAGGACTTCTTACTACCCACCACTGCATCCCCAGCCATCATTGGGGTTCTGTGTTCCCTTTTCCTCCCTC